ATATATATATAGTAAGTCATATCTATAGTAATTTATAAATAAGCCGTGGGTGTAAGTCCTTCATTCACCACTTAAAATTTACATAATTTAAATGTGTTTTGGCATGTGGAATTAATAATGTAAATACAAAGGAAGTTAATTCTTGGGAGAGGTAAAAAACAGTTTAAATCAACTTTTAGAAATGGAGATTAAAACCTAAAATTTTATTAATATTTTATAATCTATTGGCTTATGAATCCCTATTTGAAATCATGTACAGATATGTGGCAACATTCACAATACATCCTATAAAGTAAGGCTTTACATGATCTGTATGGGAGCCCATTTCCAGTTGTCCTTATTGCCATTGCTACTGTTAATATTGAAAAAGACGTCATTTCCCCCCAATCACCCTACTTGAAAGTTTATCAAAATTTATTGTAACTTTTATATATCTATATTTTCATTAGCACCCCTACCTAAATCATGTAACTTATCTCCATTATTTTCACTGTTGCCTCTGAATCACAGCATATTTCACATTAAAAGGTAACTATTACTGCAAATGGAATCCCAGGTTACACGCACTGATTGGTTAACATTTGGACAGTGTTTTCCTTCATTTGTTTTATAAGCCTGACTCTTCAAAGTGTTTTGTTTGTGAAAGTTAACTTTAAAAGGTTCTTTTAAGGTTACACCTTCATTTATAATATACCGTATATACTCAAGTATAAGCCAACCCGAACATAAGCCGAGGCACCTAATTTTACCACAAAAAAACTGGTAAAAATAGATACCAATAAAATTACATTAATTGAGGCATCAATAGGTTAAATGTTTTTGAATATTCGTTTCAAAGAAAAACCGTAAACTAGCTCCATAAGTGGAGAAGAGGGTCAACAAAAACAGCATGGTATCAACAATAACTTTAAAAGTACAAAAACCTTACTCAATCAGCAACCAAGCTAAAACACAAGAGTTAAAATCCTTCAAAACTGGATTCCTCCTCATCATCCGTATGTCCAAGCAGAGCTTCAGCTTTAGTTGGTGTGAGGTTATCAGCATTGACGTTGTCATCATCACTGCGTTCGCAGTCATCACCATCACTGCTGTCGTTCTCACACACAGCGCTGTCTTCACTGCCGTCCATAGCATTACTAATGCCACAGTTCTTGAAAGCGTGTTGCACCATGTCCTCTGGAATCCCTTCCCATGCATCACAACCCCACTTTGCTATCCATTCTATGTCGGGCTTCCTCAGATTTCCAACTTGTGTCAGTCGGGCTTGACCAGATGACATCCTTTCATGCCACATCTTTCGCACACGGTCTTTGAAAGGCTTATTTAAACACACATCTATAGGGGCTGCAATACAGATGTAAGCCCTTCTGGAATAACAGCCAAAGTAACTTGAGAAGACTTTGCCAATTTTTTTATGTCATCAGATGTGTGGGTTCTGAACATATCCCAAACCAGCAATGATGGTTTTTCTTTAAGGCTGCTCCTGGTCGTCCATTCCAAATTTCTTCCAGCCATTTTTTTGTTCTGTCTTTATCTATCCAGCCTTTAATATGTGTGGCACTGTAATTTGTGGTGGGAAGTTGACCTTTTTAGGCAAAGTCTTTCTTTTAAAAATAATAAGCTGCAGCTTAGTTCCATTAGCCAAACATGACAGAACAACTGTAAAATGGTTTTTTCATTTCCTGTGGTTCTGAGTAAAATGATAGTTTGTCTCCCAAACTTGCCACAGTTCTGTTCAAAGGTCACAGGTGTTTCACACTTATTCCCAGGTTATAGTTATCTCCCAAGTTATAGTTATCTCCCAGGTTATAGTTAAGGGATCCTTCTTTGTTTTATGATGAATGGAATGACATCGATTTTTCATCAAGGTCTTCTGGCAACTTCTGTGAAATCTTTGTTCTTTGCCACAAACATAAGGCAAACCTCTTCATGAAGCAGGTACACCATTCTGCTGACGCAACAAATTTGTCAATGCCTCGTGCTTTTAATTTGTCATCTTTAGCCATTTGAAGGGCAGGTATGTGAATTCCCATAGGTGTTACGCAGTAACCATTGAGGACACTCCATAACCCATTTATGCAATTCAGTCTCTAGAGCCCCATATGAAGTCGTTAAAGCACTTGGAGCTTTTTTTGCCTTTGGACTCTTTTCCAAGTCAGCTTTCATTTTCCACCACTCCCTCGCTTGTTTTTCGTCAACACAAAATTCCCTACTTCCAATACTGTTAATGCTTTCTTCTGCTCTTGACCACAACCTTAAGTTTGAAACTAGCTTTGTATGACCTGTGTTTTTGTTTTGGTCCTGGATTAGAAGTACTGGGATCCATTTCTAACAGGATGGG